GCCGGCTAACAGGTAACTTATTTTGGTTAGAGTCACTCAAGAGCTCGGAGGTCCCGAGTTCAAAGTCCGGTCTGGTAGTATCGTTTCCCCGTTTTGTTACATTATCAAATGTATCTGAAGATTGACCTCCTTTTACACACGAAATGTGTCTGGAGCGAATAACAAATCTTGAAATCTTGAAAGCTATTTTATCGATTTCTCATTATGTCCGGGTTTTTTTTTCATATTTCTTTTTTTTTACGGCAAAAGTGCATTTTGTGGTTGGGTGTCCCGGTACTATTTGCGAAACACCCACTTCGTTCTCACGGGTTCTAAAAGTAGAAGTTGTCGGATATCTCTGATAACAAAACCGACCCCGGGCTAATGTCCACCTGACAGTGTCCAAACTCCTACAAGTGTATCTAAGTTAATCTCCATACCAACAACAATCGCCAGAGGAAATTGATACAGTTACAGTATAAGTTACCATGGCACGGGTTTTGTACTGCCAGTTGTTTAATTACTATATCAATAAAGGCGTGTCCGTTCTGATTCAGTAAACGGATTTATCTATGTTGCTTCAACTGTAAACTTATTGTGTCCTTATACGGTTCAGACACACTGGGATGATCTCAATGAAGACCTAGGACTTCATGCACAGCTGGTGACACCATCTTGTCTTATTCTGTCTGCTGGAGCATGTCCGAGAAAGTTACGACCGACAGGTGATCGATTGGTAGACGGGACACGGCTAATACCATTATGGATGTTTATTACAAGACCGACAGAGTTCTCGCCCTTCTCTTCATAAACGGTAAACCTCTGATCGGGTTATCTCCCTTTTTTCATACGTTCTAAAAAGACAGAAAATGTGTGGGAACATGCCAAACTGTGTAACTGTTTGCCAGATTAAGTTGTAAAGTGTGTAAAAGGGCAACATATTTTGGTAATTTTGAAAGCGGTTGACTGCAAAATAAAAGTATAGTTGGTAGTTTTACAGCTTCCTGAAACTCAGGGGTGCACCTGTTACACCTCGAATTGTAATGATGTTCCAGCGTATTATTTGTCGTGTTATAGGTGAAAATATTCATAATTATTACGTAGCATTGAGGATATTTGATACGACAGCATTACTTAGATTACAAGGCGGCGCGCCAATAGCCTCATTACTCCGACTCCGACAGTCATCATACGGATAAAAATAGAGGGCTCTTCACCAATTTAACAAAAGTAGGTCACTGTGACCTATATTTTTTCGCTTCATTGACTTTTTAACACTGTGCTTTAATTTAGTTTCATTTTTTTTCAACAATAGGATTTGACAACAGCTAGGCATAATCTATATTATTCATCTCCTGTTCCGGTATGGCCATTAAACGATGTTCTATGAATAGTACATGTTTTATAATTCACGTTTTCTCCCGCATCCATGCATATAGAGACGCGACACATACACACGCACATTCCCATGCATCTATCCACACACACTTAACTCACACACAAGGAGCAGATTGACATATTTTCTTTATTAATGATAAGAGATTCCTTGTAATAATATGATACAGGTAATATAATTCTTTACTTTAGATAATATGAAAAAAAATATTTTCAGGCGAAAGTTCATTATCACCAGATGATAGTAGATTGAGATCAATAGACCCCAATCTGTTATATATTTCATGAATTTCATGTCTATAATCTAAATAATTAGGCAAGAAGAAGAAGTGCTCCGCATCTTCACAAGTTGCACCACAGGAAAAGCAACCATCTTGAATCAGGTGATCAAATTATTTATCAAAATTATATCACATGCTTTTTGCCTGATTTGACATAGTATTAAATTAAGTTTTCTGGGGTTGCATTGTCTGAAGATCTGGGAAACATCATCTGAGTGAATTTTACATATTTTTTTTTATAATTGTTTATTTTTCGAAGTTTTTTACATTACATAAAGTTCCGCACACACATTCTTTTCACACACAAAATACTGTATATGGATGTGTAAATGCATCATCATCATCATTGCTACAATACACCTCACCCACAAACAATCATCATCCTCATCATTATGAAAATATAGTTACCAATGCATCAGTACATATCTCGCACAATGAACATCCTCCTCCTCATCATTACCAGTACATCAATACATTTCACACAGTAGACAATCATCATCATCAGCAGCATTAATTCCTCTCACACATAAACAAGCATCAACCCTCATCATCATCATCATCTTCATCATCATGCAAATATAATTATCAATGCATATCGAGCACAATAAACAATCATCATCATCATTGCCTCAATATGCCTCACATAATAAACAAATATCAGTATCATCATCATTGCATTAATACCTCTCACACATAAACAATCATCAACCCTCATCATCTTCAACGTCATCATTATGAAATTATAATTACCAATGCATCACTACAAATATCACACAATAAACATCATTATCATCATCATCATCATCATCATTATGAAATTATAATTACCAATGCATCAAAACCAATCTCACACAATAAACAATCATCATCATTACCAGTACATCAATACGTTTCACCCAATAGACAATCGTCTTCACAATCATCATCATTACCAGTACATCAATACGTTTCACCCAATAGACAATCGTCTTCCCCATCATCATCTTCATCATCTTCAACAAGTAACCACTCATTCATACTGCATATGAAATTATGTATATATATTTACATGTCATTTGCCCCCGCGCCGTCCCATTACAACAGTGTTAGAGGGCAAGTGTGTATAGGCTATAATTACAACTGCTCGACTATATTGGTTCCCACCGCGACATTCTTGTCCCCTAGAGGGCGCGGGTGTACTAGGGGGTATCGCTCTTTTTAAAAGGACGCGCGAGCGCGGGTGTATACGGCCTAATTTCACGTTGACGCCTGTAGTCGCTGATGAATAGTGAACTTACAGGTGAAGTACTGCTGTGTATTACGGTCCGTGTACCACAATGTTCTGGAAGTGGAGGACACAACTTTCCCCGAGAGTCAGGTCTACAACGTTAACTGCAACGTACGGGTGCCCCCGTACGACAAAGAAGAACTGAAGTGGAGGGTCGCCATAAAGAGATGCGATCGGGCAAACCGTCACCGGCTGATGTTGTGTGTAACGCACACTTCGTTCAAACTGATTATAAAAACATGATTAGGTATGAAATAGGAAACTTTTTGCTTCTGCTCTTTCATTACTCCCTATCTGAATGATTTGTTGATTTATTTATTTCCTTTCCATGGCTTCAATACTCGCCTCAAACAGTCTAGGATTTATGTAAGCATACAGTAGTATGTCAAATAAAAACTGCAGTACTAGCCCGAGTTTCCTCTGGCCCTAACACCAGACTTGGACACTTGCAGTGCCTACCCTAGATATTGTGCTTACCCTAAAGTTGTTATTGGCATTCAGTATATGCACTGTTAAAAGTTAGAAATCCTGCTCTATAGAAACATAGTTTCAATATTTTGCCAACATAAAAAAATGCTTACCTATCTACCATATTTATTCCGAGGATGATAGGGGGAAATACTACTCGAACAGTGTTAGAGGTTTACACACCGGGATACTTATGACAGGCGTCGCATAACAGTCAGCAAAATCAGAAAGAAAATATTATCAGAATGTTATAGTTTAGAATTGATGATGCTGGTTTGCTAATTGTCATAATCATTATGCCAGATTTACATTTCATACTATAAATAACAAAAACAATATCTGATTTATAACAAAAATTTAATAAAAGTTTTGAACACATAAGCTATGGCAATGAATATGAACATCATAATAAAAATAATTATGTCTAATTGGCATAGAAACATAGGAATGACTTTGTAACGGGCAGGACACTTGATAAGGTCATTTATTATTTTTGCATATGACAACTTGGGCAGCCACACTTCAAAGTGACAAGCATCATGCAGCTTCTTTTCAAATTAGCGAATAGCAATTGTGTTGCTTTTAAAATAACAATTACTGAATAATAGAAAAATCAAATTACCAAGAAAAATCGCGCAACTTGTTCACAGTGTACTTATGGAAACTGAGCACTTTTTGCTGTACATGAGAGGAAGTATAAGCCAGAGTTACCAGGGCTTTCAGTTGACGCTAGACTGATATTTAAGAGCATGTTTTGACTCCCTAAAATAAAATTGGACTCCTTGGTTTTAAAGACAGGTTTATTTGACCTATGTTTTGACACTCAAAAATTCAAAAAGAATTCTATTTTACTTCTGAAATTGTTAAATGCCAAGATTCAGCTAAAAGCCCTGAACACTTTTTATCATTTAAGGATGTAGCACTTCCAAAAACTGGAACTATCCATATATAGGAAACTTATTTGTTTGGTATGTGTATATATCTTTGATAAATCATGAAACCATTTTTGTGCTCAAACTAACATTCTTATTTCAAGAATAAGCTCTTCTGATTTTAAGCGGTTTTTGGTTTGAAGTGATTAGTCTCTCTACAATTCTTCATAATCAGTGGGAAATTGTGATTTACACAGAAATAATTAATTGGGCTTGAGTACAAAATCTGAGTTTGAGCAAAACCTGGAGAATGGTTTCATAAATATGTGCTCATGATTTCAACTCCAGACTCCAGATCAGTATACT